GTTTGGTCTTCCAAAAGAGGACGATATCCGCTTTGTCCTCCCTAGAGCTGATCCGTGCTGGTCGCTGAGGAAATACATCAACTTTGCACTGTGGATCGCCGGATCGGCTTTCACCGTGGACGAAGCGGAGTCCAGCCCGGGGTCGTCTCATGTGGTTGCCGCAAGCCTCCTGGCCGCTCCTAGTCGAATCCGCTGGCCGCTGCCGCTAACTCTAGCCCGCCGTGTGTGATGCTGTGTTTTTTTGTAAAAGCAAAACTACTTTGTTTGGCCTTCCAAAAGAGGACATGACTAGAAATCAGTGATAAGTCATTATAATCCGTAATTATGTCCCCACTGGATGCAACAAATGCCTCGTTTATAATGGGTTTTAATGTTTTTGTCTCGTCGCTCTGGCCGGGACATGGCATCACAGTATGGCAAGGGGCGTAACATTTCCATCACACGCTTGAGGTATTCTGCCAATCACAACGCACTGGATAGCTGGCCAATCAGAGCACACCTCGCTTTTCAGACCAATGAGCTTTGTAAAAATCGACGCGGGGCATAGAGGAGAAACAATAATGTACAGTATGTTGAAATTAATGTGTTTTTTTTTTACTTTAAACCGCATAAACACATTTCATTACACCAAATACACAAAATAATGTTCCTTTTAGCAACATCATATGACCCCTTTAAACCTGTTAAAACCCTGAAGATACCAGACTGGGTTGTGAATAATTCACAACTGAAAATGTTTGCTCCCTTTTAGTTCAAGAATTTCCACAGAAAACTGAATTGAAATGACAGGAGGATAAATTTAAATGCAACTGGCAATGGGTTCAAAAGTGTTGTACCACTCTACCATCAGAGATACAAACTTTCAAACAAAACTTTGTTCGGTGTGAAAATTTGGTGCGATAAACATTTTAAATTGAATGAATGTTAATGTGTCTGTTCAAACCATCAATGTGACAGATTTTCTTTACAGAAAGGTGTTCGAATCTCGTTTCCATCTCACAGCGAACAAAACTGGCCATCCAATTGTAATTTGTGAATGAGTGCATTTGAAAAGTTACATCTGAGAGAGTGAAAGGGTTTCCACACTTTTTGACCATCAATCTATGACTTTTCCAGTTGTTTTCCAGGAAACACAGATTATTTTATAGATGCACTCATAATTTCTAGCTGGTATTTTAGAGCCGATGTATTAAAAAAAGATTATATTTGCTGTAGAAATTTCCTTTTGTATGATTTTTACAAGTATGTAAAAAATGTAAAAAAAAAGAAAAAAAAAGAAATCCCCTGATATTTCCAGGTTTTTTTCCAAGAATGAAGAAGTGAGTGACCGTGAGTGAATCAACAGCCAAGTTTCTATCCAGTTTTTGCTCTGTTTTGTTATTGATAAAGAGAATATGCGTTAAAAAAAACTCTGCGAAAATTGCTGTCTACAGCCTGTTTCCATCCAACTGGCCTTTTACAGATAAAATGCTGTGCGTGATGACGTCATCCCTAAAAAAATGAATTTTTGCATAAGTTTTGGTGTATCGCAAAATAAATATTGCCCTTGAGCTGTTTCCATAAATAATTTCACCTATTGCGTAAATTATACAGGCTAGTAGCCTGTTCTTCATCCATTTGAAACAAAACTTTATTACATATCCTATTACTAAATTGTATAGGCATAAAATAGTTTGTAACAAGTGTCATGAGGTTTTTTTTTTTTGTACTTTGTTATAGACTATTTAGATACTTGATCATCAAGCATTATTCATAAATAGGTGCAGTTGTATTAGCCTATCATTATTTTTCTGATTAACTTTTAGAGGAAATGTTCATTTGAGTTAGTTTATTTCTCCTAACCAACAACCGACGGTCGTTAAGCCATTATTAACCGACAAGATAATTACAGTTAAATTAAATGTGAATTGATATGTGGCTGTGACCCAATAAAATACATAAATTTGTTTTCCTATGATAAATTTTATACACGCAAAAAGCACCATAAACAACAGAACGTGAGGATTCATATGGTCATGTCACGCACCTGCAGCGCTTCTGCAAATGGAGAAAAACATTATAAAGCTATAGGCTATATAAAATAAATAAATAGGCCTATATGCGAAATATATTTTTCTAAATAATAAATTAACAAAATGAAATAAAAAAAACTGTGCAACAATTAGCAGCCTAAATGTTCAATTTCGGCACATTTTTGTGATGCGCTCTTGAGAATGTGGCATTCTATTTGTTTCCTTTATTTTACAAAAGCACAATGTTTTGTTTTTATTGTGAATGTACACAAATATAGGAATATTTAGAATAGTTTTGAATAATGTCTTACTCTCATATGACCACAAATGAAGGAGTATAGTAACACCGTGTCTACACTGGACACGACAGTTGCCGCGCCGCTCGCGTCCGTTGTAGACACGGTGTAGGCCTAAGTTGTTTCCACTTTTAAAGGGAAAAAAAAAACAAGTGATCGTGCCGGCGCCTCACTCGCGCAGTTAAGCATTACTAACTATAGTAATTACTATACAGTCAGCCAAACATTGAAAACCATGCTATTTTAGTTCTCCTCACTCCACAACAAATACTTAAATTTAACGGTAGAACAGAACTCAGAAACAAAACAAGAAAAAATATATATAAGAAGCTACTAACAAGCCAAAACTAATTAATTTTAAATTTTGTACTTCACGTTCCAATATCCACGTAAATAAAATTTGCTTGGCATAGTAATATCACGGGGGTATGGTGGTCATGCTGAACAGCACGGACTACAGGCTATTTAAACTGAGCAGTGCAGTGTAAAAAAATAACGTAAACGTAGGATACTATAGGAACATCAAATTAACATATGTATGTTTGAGAGGTAACTTGTCTTTTTCTTACCAAATATAAAATAATTTTAGATGCAATTTAATAATATGAATATGATTTAATGTGCTTTTGAACTACAGGGAAAGGGTGCTTCAACGTGAACAACACCATGAACACTATAGGCTAATTCTGCCATGTGACACCACATTTCAGAATCAGAAAGAGAGCTTTATTGCCAAGTATGTTTGCACATACAAGGAATTTGTTATAGTGTCACAAGCTTCCAGTACACGAAGACAACAACAACACACAGATAATAAAAATAAGATGTGAATAAAATACACATGCATAAATATAAACCACAAAAAATATATAAATTGTATGTACAGGTGTGCTATAGATAAAATAAAATAAAGTTGTAGGGATGTACTAGGAT